ACCCACCTCCTAGAGAAATGGAAATAAAAACAAAAATAAACAAATAGGACCTAATGAAACTTAAAAGCTTTTGCACAGCGAAAGAAACCATAAACAAGACAAAAAGACAACCTTCAGAATGGGAGAAAATATTTGCAAATGAAGCAACTGACAAAGGATTAATCTCCAAAATTTACAAGCAGCTCATGCAGCTCAATATCAAAAAAACAAACCACCCAATCCAAAAATGGGCAGAAGACTTAAATAGACATTTCTCCGAAGAAGATACACAGAGTGCCAACAAACACATGAAAGAATGCTCAACATCATTAATCATTAGAGAAATGCAAATCAAAACTACAATGCGATATCATTGCACACCGGTCAGAATGGCCATCATCAAAAAATTTACAAACAATAAATGCTGGAGAGGGTGTGGAGAAAAGGGAATCCTCTTGCACTGTTGGTGGGAATGTAAATTGATACAGCCACTATGGAGAACAGTATGGAGGTTCCTTAAAAAACTAAAAATAGAACTACCATACGACCCAGCAATCCCACTACTGGGCATATACCCTGAGAAAACCATAATTCAAAAAGAGTCATGTACCAAAATGTTCATCGCAGCTCTATTTACAAGAGCCAGGACATGGAAGCAACCTAAGTGTCCATCAACAGATGAATGGATAAAGAAGATGTGGCACATATATACACTGGAATACGACTCAGCCATAAAAAGGAACGAAATTGAGTTATTTGTAGTGAGGTGGATGGACCTAGAGTCTGTCATATGGAGTGAAGTAAGTCAGAAAGAGAAAAACAAATACCGTATGCTAACACATACATATGGAATCTAAAAAAAAAGAAAAAAATGGTGATGAAGAACCTAAGGGCAAGATGGGAATAAGGACACAGACCTACTAGAGAATGGACTTGAGGATACGGGGAGGGGGAAGGGTAAGCTGGGACAAAGTGAGAGAGTGGCATGGACATATATACACTACCAAACGTTAAATAGATAGCTAGTGGGAAGCAGCCGCATAGCACAGGGAGATCAGCTCGGTGCTTTGTGTCCACCTAGAGGGGTGGGATAGGGAGGGTGGGAGGGAGGGAGATGCAAGAGGGAAGAGATATGGGGACATATGTATATGTATAACTGATTCACTTTGTTATAAAGCAGAAACTAACACACCATTGTAAAGCAATTATACTTCAATAAAGACGTTTAAAATAAACAGTTTCAGAGGCAAGTCTCTCATCTTTTCTTTGGCTAAGTCAAAATAATCAAGAAATATTTACTAAATACTGATTATTATGTAGACATATTAGGAAGACTGAAGAAGACATATAAGACATGGTCCTTAAAAAGTTTGGTAGTCAGCACAGACTTAGCGAACTTATGGTTACCACGGGAGAAGGGTTGGGGGAGGACAGATTGGGAGTTTGAGACACTGCTATAATTAAAATAGATAACCAACAAGGACCTACTGTATAGCACAGGGAACTCTGCTCAATATTCCGTAATAACCTAAATGGGAAAAGAATTTGAAAAAGAATAGATACACATATATGTATAACGGAATCACTTTGCTGTACACCTGAGACTAACACAACATTGTTAATCAACTATACTCTATACAACTATACAACTATACAACTATAGAGTATACAACTATACTCTATACAACTATACAACTATAAAATTAAAATTAAAAAAAAAGTTTGGGAGTCAGGACACATATAGTAGAGTGATTAAGAACTTGACTCGAGTCATATAGAACTAGGTTCAAATCCTAGCTCACTGTTTAGCAGTTGTGTGTCTTTGGATAAGTCATTTACCCCCTCTAACTCTCTGTTATCTCACTTATAAGATGGGAATAATAATAATATCTACTTAATAGGACTGTTGTGATAACTAAATGAGAAAACATGTGAATTTTCAGCCTAATGCCTACAACATACTATTTTTTAATCACTGTAAACTATTACTACACAGGAATGAAAATTAATGAATGAGGAGTGTTTCAAATAATGTGAATGAATTTAAACAAAGGAAAGTAAAAGTTTCACTATTGAAAGCCTTTCCTGATTATTAAAACATTTTCCTGGTTGTCTTACACAGCTGTTTCCTCTATCTTCTACTATTATCACCCTCACCATTATCCTTCTTTCTATTATAAAACCCAACAACTTCAACGGCCTTATTTACTAGAAATTAAATCCCCAAATTTATATTTCTAATCCTAACCTTTAAGTCATCTTTTCTAAAGCATATTGGAAATCTCCACTCAGATATCTCAGAATGATCTCAGACTCACCAACAAACAAAAGAACAACTAAAATTGATTATAGCATCCTCCCCAAAGCTGGTTCCTTCTCCTGACTTTTCTTACTTCAGTGATAGCACCATTTTCTTAATCTCTCCAACACAGAGTTTCAGAAATACTAATTCCTCCTCATCTCTTGCCCTTCATTTATAATTAATTAAGTCCTATAGATCCTTCTTCCATGGCTTCTCCATTTGTTCTGCTTCCCCCAAATTTCCTTCTATTTCATGCTGAACACCACTATGAAGAGTTACCTTCCTAATGCATCACCTCAATCAATTCCATAATCCGTTGCAGAAAAGCCTTCTCCTTCTTCTTATAAATAAATGAAGTTCTGATTCTTACCCAGTATTCATGTTAATTGTGCTGCAATAACTTTATTGGTCTTATTTCCTACTATTCTTTTATAGGAATAGTAGCACCCTTTATTGAACTCAGTGTTTTCAGAAAATGCATTATAGTTCCACTGATTACCCCCAACTTTCTTTAGCACCCAGTCTGAAGTAATTCTCCTCTATACTCATATAGAAAAATCAGTATTTGTACAATACATAAGACAATTTACATTTAAGTCTTGTTATTTATATCCAGCTCTGATCACATTAGTTTTTAAACTTTTAAATGTTACACTATAAGCTAGTACTTGAAGGCCAAGTACCCTATTTTACAGACCTTTCTATCTCCTATTATACCAGAAGAATGCATTATATGTGAGGAGATACATCTAAAAAATGAATCTTATGGACCAGCCTACTACTTCAACCTCTCCTCGTAGTACCATTTCGAAGAGAAAGAGTGAAGTCTTCTGATGAGTCAATGGTGAGAAGAAAGGTCCCTGTTCCAATACAGTGTGAGCAACAAGGTCTCCTTGACCTAAAAGGTTTTCTTTCACATGAAAGAGGTATTTCATAGGGAAAGGCAGAGGGAGCAGAGTAACGAGGCCATTAGAAATGCATTCAAATGAAGTCTTATATACAGCAGTGTTTGTTTTATTTTAAAACTGTTAATTTGGCCAATGGAAACATTGAAAACACTGCATATCACAAGTTTCGAAAACCTTGTTTTGGCATTACTTCATTTTTTAATATACCAAATTAAAGAACCAGGAATAACCTGAGACTTCTGACCTTTATAAGCTTGCACAGAATATCTCAGAGATATAACTTTCAAATAGGTGAGAACTCTGAGAACAGTGAGTATATCTTTTACTTTTAGCCTATTAGGTATTTAATAATTTATTATCGAATATATTAGTCCATTTCTAAATAATAGTTTTAATGCAAAGTGAATTCATTGTATTCCTGATTTCTTCTGCACATTTAACTTGAATGTGAAATGTGTAAAAAAGTGCTTTGTAGTATCACACAAAAATTTTCATCTTCATCCTTTCTACTAACCCTTTCCAGATAGTCCATATTTAAAGCTTCTTTACTAGAACCACTTCCCATTCCATCTGAACCCACCATGCAATCACTTGAAAAGATCAGTGGTCTAGGATCTTAGGCTTTGGCCAAATCAGTTTTGTCTTCTGTAAAGTCATTTTCATTAACATCTTATTACAAATTTGATTACATAATAATGGAGTTACAAATGAAAAGTCATAATGTTTGATATTATAAGCACGGCTAAAGATTAAAATGATTTTGCTTCAGAAATGTAGAGTTTATGACAAGGATCTCAATTAAATATTAATGAACCATTAACTGTACTATTTGGAACACAACCATATTTCCACAATTTGGGCATTTTCCTTCAGATATGCACTCAACAGTCACATTCATAAGCTAAAGCTGAGTTAACATAAGAGCTCTATAGTTAAGTCAATATCAAAATATTTGAGTCATTTGGGTAAAATTACTTAAAAAGGCAGTGTTTATTCACTTATGATTTCATTTAAGAAGGAGGGTATTAAGCTGGTATAAGTAGGAAAAAATGCTTAGAGAACAAAAATAAGAGCATGATAAACTAACATTCTCACCAAATTACTGGTCTATAGATATTTGAAGAAACCAGTAGCTGTTTATATAAATAAAACATCAATAACGTGCTAAAAAAGAGTCAGAAAGTTAAAGTAAATATAAAAAGTTAGGCTATTTCCATTAGAAAATAAAGTCCCTGTTGGATTCTACTTTCTTCAAGTATTATAAAAATATACAAATTTTTACAAATACCAGAACAATCATTTGAGTTAATTAATATGAAAGTTACTAAGGCAATTATCCCAAATTAAATCCTAGGGGCTTAAAGAACAGTTGATAAAACTAAACTGTAACCATTTAATGTTTTTAAAATGCCGTGTGTGAATTAGTCTGTTATAATTATGAAAAGGGTGAAACCACATCTTCAGCTTGTAAAGTATTCTCCAGGCTTTCTGTTTCTTAAAGTAATCACAAATACAGCAATTTTGATCTTAGAAAGGAACACCGATAGCTAGTGAATGAGTTTCTTCAGTTCTTTAAGGACCAACTGTCTTAGGAGACAATAACATTTTCTTTTCTTAGAAAGAAATATCAGCTTCCAATGAAACTGTGTAAAAGCTGATATGGAATATTTGATGGAGTTAGAGAAAAGAGGAAAATAACAGACAACATAGAAGAAGCACAGACCAGTAATAAATATTCCTCCTGTAATTCATACCAACTTGACTATATGGCCAAAATTTACCCACAAAAAGAGATTTAAGAGAGTACTCACCACTGAATTATTTCTGTGATTTGAGCTTCCCAATGTGCAACTGATTCCTTCTTGTCTGCTAGATCCTTTACCTCTTCTTCTAACTGCTGGTTGCATGTACTCAAGTTCTCATACAAAGTAGTAAGCTGAAAGGCAGTTTTAAGGTACTTAAAGACGTGTGACTTTTAGGAACAGGAATTCAAGGTGCTCAGATGCCTCTTGTTAAATCTGGTAACTCAAAATTGCTTGTCTTTCTGATTTCCTATTATGATGCACCCTCTGGTCACTGAATGTGGAAACATCAAGTACTCTGAATTCTCCTTCTGCCTTTGCTTTTCCCATACTCCCCATATTGAATTGGTTCCATCTGTGAACATTCTCCATTTGCCTGAAGAACTCCCCAGTTCTGTTGGTAACAACATCTCTCATTTTTTTGTCTGAAAATATCTCTATGTCACCCTCTTTTTAAAAAAACTTATAATTTCAAGCATATACAAAAATGAACAGAAGAGTGTAAGTGAATTCCCATGAGCCCATCATCACTAACTTCAACAATTATCACCTCAATGTCAATCTTATTTCATTTGTACTCCTGTCTTCTTACCCTTTCCTCCGTTATTATTCTGCAGCAAATACCAGACATCATATAATTTTATCCATATATATTTCTGTGTATATCTCTAGAAAATAAGGCTCCCTTTTTATGTATAACCACAATATCATTATCATATTTAAACAAATTTAACAAGTTTCCTTACATTATCACATAGCTAGTAATTGTTCAAATTTCCAGTTGTCTCAAAACATCAAAAGACTTAACAGTCTGTTAAACTGAATCATACCAACAGGTAAACGTAACTTAATGGTTGCTCTATCTTTTAAGTCTTTTTTACTTATAGGCTCCAGATTACTCCATTTCGGCTGCTGTAGTGGAATATCACAGTCTGAGTGGCTTAAACAAGAAACATTTATTTCTGATAGTTCTGGACGCTGGGAAGTCCAGGATCAAGGCACCAGCAGATTCAGTGTCTGGCAAGGGCCCACTTCCTGGTTTTATAGATGGTCGTAGGATGAGGGAGCTCTGTGGGGTCTCTTTTATAAGAGCACTAATCCTATTCATGAAGGCTCTACCTTCATGACCTAATCATCTTCCAAAGCCTATACCTCCAAACAGTACTAGGTGTCAACATCTGAATTTTGGAGGGACACAAACATTTAGTACATAGCAGTTCCCCTCCAATACTTTAATTTTTCTTGTAATTTATTTGTTGAAGAAAGTAGGTTGTTTGTCCTGCAGAGTTCTCTACAGTCTGAATTTTTGCCTTCATTTTTGAAAGACACTTTTGGCTGTATATAATTTTCTCGATTGGCAGTTATTTTCCTTTCTATTCCTTTTTATTATTTATAGATGTCATTCCTTTTTATCCTGGGTTCCATTTTCTTCTGTTGTAAAGACAGCTTTAAGTTTAGCTTTTGCTCCTTCGAATACAATGTGTCTTTCTTCTCTGGCTGCTTCTAGGATTTTCTTTGGTTGGTTGGTTTTTAGCAATTTTTCTATAATGTGTCTAAGGGATTTAATTTCTATTTATCACTTTTAGGGTTTGTGGTATTTCTTGAATTTGTGGCTAAATACTTCTCAGAGGTTTTGGAAAATTATGGGCCATTAACTCTGCAAATATTCCTTCTACCACAGTCTTTCTCCTCTCCTTCTGGGAAAGCAAATATTTGTATGTCATCTTTTCATCACGTCCCCTATGTCTCACATCCACTTTTATGTATTTCTGTCCTTTTTTATTAATATATCTTTTAAAATTTATTATTTATTTAATTTATTTTTGGCTGCGTCTGGTCTTAGTCGCGGTGTGAGGGATCTTTGTTGTGGTGCATGGGCTCTCTAGTTGTGGCGTGCAGGTTTTCTCTTCTCTAGTTGTGGCACATAGGCTCCAGGGCACATGGGCTCTGTAGCTGTGGTGCGCGGGTCCCAGAGCACATGGGCTGTAGTTGAGGCACGCAAGCGTGCAAGTAGTTGTGGCATGCAGGCTTAGTTGCCCCATGGCACATGGGATCTTAGTTCCCTGACCAGGGGTCGAACCAGCATCCCCTGCATTGTAAGGCAGATTCTTTACCACTGGACCACCAGGGAAGTCCCTGTATTTCTGTCCTTTTAAATCTGTATCCAGACTTCAGTATGGGAAGGTTTTTATTTACCCCTTCCTTTCTTTGTTTCTTTCCAATCTACTGTTAAAATTTTCTGTTGGGATTTTTCATTTATTTTTCACTTCTAAAGATTTATTTGACTGTTTTGTATAGATTCCAGTCGTCTGCTGAAATTCTTCATCATGTTTATTTTCTTGAATGTATCATACAGTTATTTTAAAGTTCAGTTAAGAAAATTCCAATACTCGGAATTGTGTGGGTCTGTTTATACTGACTGCCTGGTTTTCTTCTCATTTATTCTTTTCTTACTTTGTTTTTGCTATTATACTTTCATGTCTTGGTTTTCTTTGGTTGTATCTCTTGGTATGCATTGTAATTTCTTACTGCATGCCACATATAGTGTATGAAAATTTTAGAGATAACTTGAGCCTCTATATAATATCTTCCTCCAGAGACTGCTTACTTTTACTTCTGCTAGGCAATTAGACAGATCATGGATTCAGTTACTTAGAGGCTGGGTTTCAGTCACTGAGAGGGCTCATCTCTCTCTGGTTCACCCTTATTTCTAAAATGTAGCCTTTTCGATGAGTTCAACTCAAAGCTTGAATTGATTACCAAGGATCCTGCACCTTGGTGGGCATTGATATTCAGTTTTTCTCTCTAAACTTGTGATACTGTGGAATACTGTGCTCAACTTCCTGGATTCTCTGCTACAGCTTTCATATCTGCAAATGCCTCAAGAGGAAAACTGGCCCTGAATGCTGGGCTCATCTCTCTGTACTACTCCTTTCTAAAGGATCTGGGTCAGTAAAGTCTCGGCTGCCTTCTTATCTCTCCAGTGCCTTCCTGCAGATGAATACTTCCAGGCAGTATTGCTACAGTATTAAAAACATTTTTTTTTAAGTCCAGCTTTATAGCTCTTCTTGGTGAGGTGGTAGGTATGATGTAAGCTAATCTGTCACAGAAGCAAAAATTCTTGTTTATTTAGTTTTTAAAAGTTCATGATAAAATATTTGCATACAATTTTTATTTCATGGCTACATTTTTCTGATAAATGGTCTCAATATGTCATTAGTTATTACTATTCCTTTCTTCCTTTCTGATATATTTGTAGAGATATTGTGTTAGTTTTCTTTCTGATTACTCAGCTTGAAGGAGACGAATTTTTCCTACAAGAATTATTTATAGGTTTGTGAAGATGAGGGGCCATGTGATGGTTAAATTTATGAGTCAACTTGATTGGGTCATAGGGTGCCTAGACATTTGGTCAAACATTCTGGTTGTGTATTTGAAGGTGTCTCTGGGTGAGATTAACATTTGAATTGATTGACTGAATAAAGCAGATTACCTTCCTAATGTGGATGGTTCCCATTCTATCAGTTGAAGGCCTGAACAGAAAAAAAGGCTGACCCTAGTAAGAGGGAATTCCTCCTGCCTGACTTGCTTTCAAGCTGGGACATTGGATTCTGTCCTTGGTCTCTTACTGAAACAGTGGCTCTTCCTGGGTCTGACATAAGAAACTATTGCTACGATTTACATCAGAGAATGTTTTGCCTATGTTCTCTTCTAGGAGATTTATGGTATCATGTCTTAATATTTAAGTCTTCAAGCCATTCTGAGTTTATTTTTGTGTATGGTGTGAGGGAGTGTTTTAACTTCATTATTTTATATGCAGCTGTCCAGCTCTCCCAACACTACTTGCTGAAGAGACTGTCTTTTCTCCATTGTATATTCTTGCCTCCCTTGTTGAAGATTAATTGACCATAGGTGTGTGGGTTTATTTCTGGGCTCTCTATTCTGTTCCACTGATCCATATGTCTGTTTCTGTCAGCCAATACCAAGCTGTTTTGATTACTGTAGCTTTGTAGTATTGTCTGAAGTCTGGGAGGATTATGTCTCCAGCTTTGTTCTTTTTCCTCAGGATTGCTTTGGCAATTCTGTTTTTTGTTGTGGTTCCATATAAATTTTAGGAATATTTGTTCTAGTTCTGTAAAAAATGACATGGGTAATTTGACAGAGATCACATAAAATCTGTAGACTGTTTTGGGTAGTATGGCCATTTTAACAATATTAATTCTTCCAATCCAAGAGCATGGGATATCTTTCCATTTCTTTGAATCATTTTCAATTTCCTTTATCAATGTTTTATGGCTCTTAGCATGTAAGTCTCTCACCTCCTTGGTCAGGTTTATTCCTAAATTTGTTTGTTTTTTTATTGATGCGATTTTAAAAGGGATTGTCTTTTCACTTTCCCTGTCTGAGATTTCACTGTTAGTGTAAAGAAATGCAACTGATTTCTGTATGTTAATCTTGTATACTGCTACCTTGCTGAATTTGTTTACCGGTTCTCGTAGTTTCTGTGTGGAGTCTTTAGGGTTTCCTATATATGGTATCATGTCATCTGCATACAATGACAACTTTACCTCTTCCCTTCTAATTTGGATACCTTTTATTTCTTTTTCTTGTCTGACTGCTGTGGCTAGGATTTCTAATACTATGTTGAACAGAAGTGGTAAGAGTGGGCATCCTTGTCTTGTTCCAGATTTTAGCAGGAAGGCTTTCAGCTTTTCACCTTTGAGTATTATGTTGGCTATGGGTTTGCCATAAATAGCTTTTACATGCTGAGATATGTTCCCTCTACACCCACTTTGGAAAGAGTTTTTATCATGAATGGATGTTGAGTTTTATCAAATGCTTTTTCTGCATCTATTGAGATGATCATGTTGTTTTTGTCTTTTCTTATGTTGATGTGGTTTATCACACTGACTGATTTGCATATGTTGAACCATCCATGTAACCCTGGGATGAATCCAGCTTGATCATGGTGTATGATCCTTTTTATGGTTATTGGATTCGGTTTCCTAATATTTTGTTGAGGATTTTTGCATCTATATTTATCAAAGATATGGGCCTGTAATTTTCTCTGCCAATAAACTGGACAAACTAGAAGAAATGTACAAGTTTTGCCAACTCCCTAAACTAAGTTCATCTGGAATTCTCCTAATGACCCAGGTTTTTTCTGGTGTGTGTTTTTAACCTGTATTTCCATGGGAGATAGGCAGTTTTAGCACAAGTCACAATGCAAAGCTTCATTTCTTCCCCTCTGCCAAAAGACAAATTACTTTATGCATTCCCCATTTAATCCTATCCTCAACCTCATTGTCTTCTTAGAAAGAAAAACGGTCAGAGAACCTGTCACTACCAACGCACATCGTTATCTGCCTATTGAGAACAAGGAACTTACGTATTGTACTCCAGGGTGTGCTATTTACCTTTAAAAATGTATTTTACCATCTATTTTCTTTTTATAGGTTTATTAATTTACATACTATAATTTACATACTATAAAATTCACTCATTATAACACTTATGGTTTGATGATTTTTAGTAAATTTAAACATTTGTGCAATAATCACCACAATCTGGTTTGGGAACACTTCCAATACCTGAGAAATTTCCCTCAAGCTGGTTTGCAGTCAATCCTGGCTTCCACCATGAGTTCTCGGCATCACTGATCTATTTTCTGTGTCTATAGTTTTGTCTTTTCTAGAAACGTAATATCAATGAAATAATACAACATATAGTTTTTTGTATCAGGCTTTTTTCACTTATCATATTATTGAGGTTCAACCACAGTGTTGCACATATCAGAAACTAACCCCTTTTTATAGCTGGGTAGTATTCTATTACATGGATATTAGTACACTTTATTTATCCATTCACTACTTGATGAACATTTGCATTGTTTCCGGTTATTTGCTATTATGAATAATGATGCAATGAACATTCATATACAAGTTTCTAAAGTGACTATGTTTTTAATTCTTCTGGATAAATATCTAGGAGAATTTCCGAGTTATAGGGTAAGTGTATGCTTAACTTTTTGAGAAATTTCAAAACTGTTTTCTGAAGTAGTTATACCATCTTGCACTCCTACAAGCAGTGTAGGAGTTTCAGTTCCTCCATATCCTTGCCAACAGCTGGTATGGTCACTGACTGATTAACTCTTGAGCCTGTACAACAATATGTTTCTATGGTTTAACTTGCATTGTTCCTAATGACTAATGATAGTGAATAGCTTTTCACGTGCTTATTTGTTATTCATATATCTTCTTTCATGAAATTTTCCCCCGTTTTCAATTTTCCCCCTGTTATTTTCCATTGGGTTGTTTGTATTATTTCTTGAGTTTTAAGAGTTCTTTATACATTCCAAATATAAGTCTTTTATCAGATAAATTATTTGAAAATCTTTTCATCTATATATGTCTTTTCATTTTATTAATGTTGTCTTTAAATTTTGATGAGGTCCAATTTATAATTATTTTTCTCTCAAGGTTTGTGCTTTGTGTCATATCTAAAAAATCTTTGACTAATGCCAAATCACAAAGATTTTCTCCTTTGCTTACCTCATATTTCAGTTTATGATCCATTTTGAATTAATTGTGTATGTTATGAGGTAAGGATCTAAGTTAACTTTTTACACATAGATATCCAATTATTCCAGCACCATTTGTTGAGAAGATTCTCCTTTTCCCATTGAATTGCCTTGGTACTTTTGCTGAAAATCAATCAACCATAAATATGACGTCTTATTTTTGGACTCTCTACTCTGTTCCATTATGCCAATGTTACCGTCTTTTGATTACTATAAATTTACAGTTAAGTTTCGAAATTCTGTAGTGTAAATCCTCCAACTTCTGTACCCCTCGCCTCCCCACCCCCCGCCAAATATTTTTGCTATTGTAGATCTTCTGTATTCCCATATAAATTTAAGGATAGGCTTGCCAGTTCTAACAAAAAAGCCTAGTAAAATTTTGATAGTGATTTCCCCAAATCCATAGATCTATTAGGAGAGAACTGCAGTCCTAACAATATGCAGTATGTCTCTCCATTTGCTTAGATATTCCTTAATTTATCTCAGTAATGTTTTGTAGTTGTCTTCCTTTGGTTAACTCTGGGAGCTCTGAAATGTCTGTTTTCAACTACTGTGTCCACTTTGAAACTTTTTTTTCTTGAGCGGATTCATCAATCTCTTCACATTAGCATAACCAGAAGTCTACCAGCTATTTTGGAGAATGTTTTTTGTAGATGCAGTGTCTTCACTAATTCCTACGACACATCCTTTTCTGATCACCATTGCTTTTGACTTACAATCTGTGATTGGGGTTTCAGCTGGAGATTTGCAAGAAGAGGAGGAAATACAAATTTTTGCACTGTCATGTTACAGTAGTTAAAAGGAGTCTTAAATAGATGTGTTTAGTATTTGTCAGGAAAAGTTAATCTTTTCATTCTTACTGAATTAAAGCACAGGGGCTCTGGAGCCAGACTACCCGTGTTCCAATCCCATCCTGCCACTCCCTAGTTTTGAGATTACAAGAGTAGCTTAATCTCCCTTTGCCTCAATTTCCTCATCTGTAAAATGGTAGGAACAATAGGGTATACCTCACAGAGTTATTGTGAGAATTATATGGTTTATATAAAGTAACTCAGGAGAGGGCCTGCACAAAGTAAATTCTACCTAAGCATTACTTCATTTTGCATGTTTGGGAATGAGAAGGTTTTACTATTTGTAAATTGACATACCTGGCTTACGATAATTATAAGACTACACAGGAATATGGAAAAATGCTCATGTTTTAAATGAAATGGCAGATTAGAAAATAAAATGTATATATGACTGAAATTATGTAATAATACATATAAAACAAAACCTGGAAAGGAACATATAAAAGTAAAATAGTTGTTTCATGTTAATGAAATCATAGGTAACTTTTATGTTGAATATTTTCCACATTGTGTAATTTTGCTTTTATGTAAAATAATTATTTAATAGCAAGATACAAATGATAATATTTTCTTACTGGAAACCATTTACTTCCATCCCTTGGCATATATGGCTAATTTTACTTGCAATAAATTACCTTTAATAGAAACTTTGAATACAGACTTCTGAAAATATCAACAAACTTTTTTCTATTTCCTTTTTAATTTTTATTTTTGAAGTTAAAAAAAATCTGACTATGAGACTCTATTAGTTATATAAGTTTCAAAATTAACATACTAATTGCTTTTTGGTTTCTATATCTGAAGTTCTGTTGAGAAGGAATTCGGTTCTCTTCAAGCAGGTTCCCAATGGAACAGTTGGTGTAGCAATGGCAAAGGTATTCTTTGGTTATCCCTCTTGGGGAAAATACCCAATTCAACCAAACCAAAAAATGAATAAATGGAAAGAAACAGTGAAGATGTGCAGTTAGGTGGACTGACAGAGAAGTAAAGCTGAATAAAAGGACCAAAAATAGAGAAGAGGTTCAAATGGAAGAAGACCCAGATCCTTCCCTATTTCTCCAGAAATAAACATTTCCTGTTATCATTTGTCACTGAATACTTGCCAACCATATGATTTGCTCTCAAAGTTCTGTTCATATCCTTTACCACATCTTTCAATTTAGCAAGACAAGGTAATATTCTACTTTTTATAAAATTAGGAGATAGGCTTTTATTTTTATCCTTCAGATCTCATCAAAATCCAAAGAGTATTGTTTAAAAATTATTTCTAAAGATGTATTTCTGGTAAACTTGCCAGAACTTTATGGTTAATAATGAAATGAAACCAAGGGGTGAATACAAGATTTGATCTACATTCGATTTGATTATATCACAATTCAATTTTTCTCTAACTATAATACCATCTTTTACTAGGTAATTTGCTTATAAACTCTACATGAAGTGACCTTCTAGGGTTTAATTATATTTCTTACCTCAAGGTCACTCTTAACAGAATCTTAAAATTCTGTCTGGTAGACAGAAATGATGTTTAATTTTGTAGTCATATTGGTTAAGCCCATTAAATAACAATTATGTGACCTATTTGGATAAAGTTTAAATACTGTTAGTTTTATTTTAGTGGAAGTAACTAAGAGTTATACAATACTGTTCATACAGTATTCATAGTTAAAAAAATAATTTATACTACTTACTATTTGGCCACTTTCCACAGTGTTTGTGTGCATCAGCTTTGTAATTACAAAATAAACTAACAGAGCTCTTTCTCAAGTAGTTTGCGACCAAACAAGCAGTCATTTTTAAATGCTTAGAAAACTGAATAATCATTGGGAAAATAGTGACAGAAATAAAAAGAAATATGGAACACAATGGAAAATTGCGATAGAATGAATGAAAAGTCTCTCTTTTATGACTATTTAGCCATTGTCTTTCAATGTGTTATTGAAATGACTATTAATTGAACATAATACTTTTACTTCAGGAAAATCCTTGAACTCATTACAAAGCACAATTATCCAAACCTTATTATTTAAAAGTAAGTAAAACTATTAAAACTGCTGATTAATATTAGGATTTTTACAGCTGTTAACAACTGGGACGAGAAATGCAGAATGATGTCAGTTCAAGAAATCTGAGATACTAAATGGAAAAAGATTCCTTTAAGTATTTAAAATTTTGTTCATAAATCTAGCTGTTTTAATCTAGGTTTAATCTATGGTTCAGCTCTTTATTCAAGCTGTAGAGTTTATAGGCAGAGTTGGTTTCTTTGGCTTCTTAACTACCAATGGTATTACTTCTAGCTATTATCAGTTCTCCATCATGAATATGACATCAGAACTGTCAAAATTTCTCTAGTTTGGCTTAATTGTTCCTGTTCTTGCCAAAGACAGGCCTCAGCTTAGCCATGACAAAGTAAGTGATTAATAGTAAAAGAGAGATGGAAAGTGAAATAAAGAACAGGGGCTCAAAAAATAAATGAGACAAAGAATAAGACGAGGTAAGCCAAGTCCTCTCTCCAAGAAGACTCCTGTACAGACTGGTAAAATGAAAAATTGCCTGTACACAGAAGGAATCCTTGCGTTTAGGAAGAATAGTAAATAAAAAAATGTACACCAAATATAAAATTATATCTATAATTGCTATGATAGTGCTGAACATCTAGCATGTATCAATGAGTATCAATGAGATTAAATCACTCACCTTATCAAGCTCACTTGTCAGTTTTTTATTTTCTTCCATTAATAACACTTTTTCTCGTTCATACTGTTGTTTGAACTCATTTTCAAATTCTTCCCTTTCACTTTGACTAATACAATGCAAAAATATAAAAGGAAAAAAAGGAATTGAATTAAAGGTAAAATAATGGTATACTAGATTGGCTATGGTATCATATGCCTTATTCTGAAAAGCCACTTATATCTCAATTGCTCCAAATCCCAAACATTTCCCTTAAAATTAGGAAGTCACAATCATTTCCTTTTAGTTAATAAATAGATTTGTCTGCTTAATAATATCTATTTTGTTCTTCATTTGAAAATCTGAGGAAGACATCCTGATTATGTTCACCTTATTCAGTTGTAAATATCCTAGAAAGCATGGGAAAATGAGGAAGCTAGGGAGAAAGGAGGGTATAGGGACCACAATACAATTGCTTACACTCAGCTCTAGATTGCATAGAAAATTCAACTTCCATTTCCAACAGTTCTCTCAACACACTAAGCCCATCCTTCCATTACTCCTGCCTGCCTTCTTCCCTTCCTCCGTAAGTACCTACCTATCTACACATACATACAATATTATAAAACTTATTTAAAATGATAGTTCTAAGGGACAGAATTGATTCACCCTTAGGGGTAAACACAGTTTTAACGAACTTTTTAAAAATCTCCAAAGGGAGGAGTCTGGGAGGCGGCGCCGCAGGGGACAGAGGGACGGACGCGCTCGAAGGCCAACGCGGAGGCCGCGATACTGGCGCTGCCCCGCCCGCTGCTTTTGGCCGCCGGCTGCCTGGCAGCGCTCTGCGTGACGAGCGCGGCTCAGAACACCACGCTGGCCCCGAACGTGACTACACCCTCGGCTTTACCGACTACCACCAGGACAGCCCCGGTGCCGCCGCCGCTCCGCCGGGCACCACTCCAGCACCAGAAATCTCTGAAAGCCGCAACAACCGGGTTTCCTGTTTTGATGCTAATGCTGCTAACACTACCTGCTTTTGGATAAAATGCAAAGGTAAAGGCTACTGTTCAGGTAATTCAACAGTTCGTGATTGCAAGGTGGTGAACAGCACAGAATTCTGTCCTGCGTCCACTGCCACACCATTGCCAACCAACTCTACAGCTAAAACCACAACTCCGCCTTCCTCTTCTACAGCTTCCACCACAACTACTACATCAGGTACAACTGATACCTCTTTAACTCCAACTTCACAACCTGCACGGAAGTCTACCTTTGATGCCACCAGTTTCATTGGAGGAATTGTCCTTGTCTTGGGTGTGCAGGCTGTAACTTTCTTTCTCTATAAACTCTGCAAATCTAAAGAACGAAACCACCACACTCTGTAAACAGACCCGCTAAATTAACAAGAACTGGTGTGTAACCCACTGAAACCAAAATATTATCTTTCAAGATGTCCCACATGGAAGACGCTATTCTAGGATCTTTAATTTTTCAAAGGATGCATATAGGAGCATCGCCCTTGAAGAAAAATCATTTAAATCATTTTGCTCAACGGGCATATTTAAAATATTCTGCACGAATCCTTGTGGCTGTCTTCTTTTATTTTAAATGTCTGCTGCTGTGGGATTATGTCCTCTCTTCTTGACATGCCAAATGTAACTCTGTAAGCGATGGAAAACATTGTCCTGCGCAGACAACCTCCTGACCCTTTTGGCAATTTCAATGTAGTCATTTCAAAGCCTGAAAGCTGCATTATTTTCATCCTAACTCAGGATGTAGTTTAGCGACCAGAATTGAGAAGAACGTGCCAAATGAGCATCAATCCGGTGGATTTTGGGCTATCATTTCAAACGTGGAAAAAATTTATAAACGTAGTATTCTTAGAGTAAAATTTAGTGTTTGATAAGTTATTTTTTCTACATTAGAAAACAGATGCCACACACGGAATTACATTCCAGATTTAAAGAAAAAATCAATGGAAAGGATACAAAACATTAAAGTGTAGCAGGTTATTGTTCATACTTGTAAAGCACCTTATATCATTGAGAAAATAAAAAACAGTGTCTTAAAAGACAAAAAGACAAAAAAAGAAAAAGAAACAACAAAAACCTCCTAAGGGAGAAAGGGGAATCAGTTTTTGAATACTGAGTTGAAGTGCAAATAAAGAGGCTTATCTCTACAGCAGTGTGATGGAGGATGTTAGTTAGCAGTAAATGTGAAGCAGTTCTGGGTAATTTTATGATTGCTTCCAAGTCAATAAACAACATAAGTAACGGCTGATTTTAAAAATGTAATCTTAAAAATCCCTTCCTCACTAAATTATTGAATATAAATTAAATTATAATTTAAATGATAACTTCTAGGAAAATAACCATCCTGTGTCCAAACAAATGTGTCCCTTTCCTTCTTATCTATAATCAAAATGTGAAATTTAGTTATGTTTAGGAATCTTTCTTTCTTTTTTTTTTTTTTTTGCAGTACGTGGGCCTCTCACTACTGTGGCCTCTCCCGTTGCAGAGCACAGGCTCCGGACACACAGGCTCAGCGGCCATGGCTCACGGGCCCAGCCACTCCGCGGCACGTGGGATCTTCCCGGACCGGGAAACGAACCCGTGTCCCCTGCATTGGCAGGCGGACTCTCAACCACTGCACCACCAGGGAAACCCAGGAATCTTTCTTGATTCAGAAGCAACTCCAAACAACAATGAAAAAAATACGAAAAATTACAAAGAAGCATCCTTTCAGAAAAATAACTATATGAATAAATTGAGTAAAATTTCTACATACAACCATTTTTGTTTTTTCCTATTAGCGTTAAACAAAACTTAAGTCTCTCTCATACTGAAATGAAATAAACAAACTCTCCCCTAAACTCTACGTCACACTTCATTTTCCACTTTCCTTGTCTTCCCATTCACTGGCAACCACCTTGAAATCTTGAGAGTTTGCCGTATCCACTTCCTCACTGCCTAAATTTTCCTCCCTGTGCCAAAATCTGACTTCTACTGCCACCACCTCAAAAACACTGTTGTCCGCAAACTCATTATTGTCCCAACTGTTATTACATCCAATCTACTGGCTACCCTTGACAGTGTTGTCCATTCCCTCCCTCTTGAAATGCTGTCCTCCCTTGGCTTCAGTGATACCCACTTTCTTGATTTTCAGCCTACATTTAGACTTTTCAGCTGTATTTGTGAGCCCCCCAACCCCTCTTTCCTCCATGTAAATGCCAATGCTCCCAGGTATTCTGTCACAGGTGCTCAACTTTTTTTTTTTTTTTTTTTTTTACACATTTTCCCTGAGCTATCCCATCTATTATACCACCTATTTCAATTATCATCCATTATGCTGACAAACTCTGAATCTACATCTGAAGCTTTTCTGGGCTTCAAATTGCTGACTTGATATCTCCCCAAAGTTGTCTCCCAAGCACCTCAAATTCAACATGCCCAACCATAACAACAGAAAAACAAGTTCCAAACACCCCACGTACCTTCCCCTGTGATCATACACTCTACTTATTCTTCTCTTACTACAGGAGAAAAACATAGCTAAGGTTGCTCTTTGCTTATGCGCCTGCTCAAGTACACTTTTCTCCTCTCTGTCCTGAATCATCTACTGGTACTTTCTATCAGATTACAAGCATGGTGTTATTTTTGAGACAAATTTCTCCTCCAGTTATTATCTCGTTGCTTTTATTATCTGCTTGCTCTTACAATTGCTCTCCTTCAAGTCTTTGGATCCATTATGGGGTTTCTGCCCACTACTGTTCCACTGAAATTGTTCTTATCAAAGTCACCAATGACATTCATATTGTTAAACTCAACTATCAATTACATGGTCCTCATCTTATTTGATTTAGACCTCATCTAATATAACATGTAGACAGATTTGATACGCATTCATCATAACACCAAATTTGGACACCAAATTTGCACACCAAATTTGCCTGGTCATCTTCCTATCATTCTTACTGCTCTTTCCCTCTCCACTTTGCTGTTTCTTCCTCATTTCCAAACTTCTAAAGATTGGAGTGCTCCAGGTTGCAGTCCTAGGACTTCTTTTCCATCTATATTCATTCACTAAGTGATCTCATGTAGTCTCACCCCTTTAAATATCATATGAATGATAAATACTCCCAGGATTTTACCTCTAGCCCTGAAATCCAGACTAGTCTGTATGATGACCTGCTTGACATTTCCACCTGGATGCCTAAAAAGCACCTCAAACAGAATTTGTTTAAAATGAGCTCCTGATATTCCCATCCCCAAAATGCTGCTTCTGTGGTTTTCCTCTCTAAATGGTAACTATATTCTCCTAATTGCTAAGGCCCAAAACTGTAGCACCATCCTTGATTTCCCCTCTTTCTTTCTTACCCCATATCTAGTCTATCAGCAAATATCATTATTTTTACCTTTTAAAGAAATTGGAATTCGAACATTTTTCACAGCCAATTCTGCCACCACCCTAGGCCCAATCCACCATTATCTTTTGCCTGGATGATTGCAATAGCCTTCTCAATGGTTTCACTGCTCTTTCTCTTATCTAGTTCAGACTTTTCTTAATCTAGTAGTCAGAATAATCCTGTTAAAACACAAGTCAATATTTGTCCATTTTCCACTCAAAATCCTGCAATGCTTCTCCGCCATGGTTTTACTGAGAGTAAAAAATTGTAAGTCACTGAACATGACTTACAAAGCCTTACATGGTCTGGCCCCCATTACCTCTCATACGTACCTCTCACTATTCTTTCCCCCTAACTCTGCTTCATCCACATTGGCCTCTTTTTTAGTATTATTATTTTAACAGACTTTATTTTTTAGAAAGGTTTTAGGTGCATAGCAATACTGAGAGGAAAATACAGAGATTGCCCATATACTACTCAGAGTGGTGTGTTTGTTACTACTGATGAATCTACATTTGACACATCATTATCACTAAAACGTCGCAATTTACATTAGGTTGTATAATGACATATACCCCCATCACAGCTTCATACAGAGTAGTTTCACTGCCCTAGAAATCCTCTGTACCCTGCCTATTCATCCCACCCTCCTCCCAATCCTTGCAGCCACTGATCTTTTTACTATCTCCATAGTTTTGTCTTCCCATTATTTTTTTTAACAGACTTCTTGTTCCTCATGTAAAATGTTCTTCTCACACATCTGTATAGCTATCTCCCCCACTTTCTTCAGTCCTTACTGAGAAATCATCTTCTCAGTATAATTTTCCCTGGTTATTTCATTCATTCATATATATATATATATATATATATATATATATATATAAAATTTAATTTTCCCCCTTAATGCTTCATAGCCCCCATCCCCTGCCTTATTTTTTGTTCTTAGAATTCATCACTACCTATATATTACCTATCCTATATCATTACCTATATATTCTGTATTTTACTTATTTCATTTATATTTTGCTTATAGTCTTTCACCATAATTAAAGGAAAGCTCCATAAGGAGAGAGAATTTTTATCTGTTCACTGTTATGCCTCCAGGGCCTACAGCAGTGCTTTCACATAGCAGGTTCTAAAAAATTCTGCTGAATGAACAGACCAAACTGAATTAAACTTAGGCTTCCAATATAAGTTGAGAATGACAATAACATACATTCAGTTACCTAAAACCTAGAAACTTGAGTATCACTGATAATTTCTCCTGCTTCTAATTTCTCATATCTGGTTATCATGTCATCCAGGTTCTGTCTTCTCGGTAGACCTTCTAATCCATAAACTTCTCTCCATCTTCACTATCATATCTAAGGTCCAGCCACCTCATCTCTCACAGCTAGATTACGATCTGCAGTCTGCTCCTTCCAATCCATTCTCTAAACAGTAGCAAGAGTGGTCTTTCAAAAATATAAATATTGATATAATCATGTAATTTTCCTTCAATGGTCTTACGACTATTTTCCTTTCTAGTCTCATTTCTCACCACTCATCTTCCTTTTTATGCTTCCACCATAATGAACAGCTTTCATTTTCTGAATGTGCCATGCTACCCTTTTCCTCTAGATCTTGGCAAATTCTGCTAACCTTTGCCTGGACACTCTTCCACAGCTACATATTTCTTATATCTTTGGTCTTAACTCAGAAATAATTTTGTCCACAAAACCTAGATACACCAAAGTTATCTTTTGTGCCTCTTCTACGGGTGTTCCTATACTTATCCAATTTGCTTTCCTATGATGCTGTAATGTAATTTTCTATTTAATCTTGACTTTGGTCTTCTTGAGGACTGGAATATGTTTATTGCCTATGTATCTCCAGTCCTTAACACCGAACAGGTATTCAATAAATAATTATTAGAGGAGTAAATAACTTGATTCTTACCTCTCTCTCCTGTTTTTTTCCAATTTGTCTTTCAAAATCAGAATTTCTTTGTTGAGAGCAAGCTGCTGGCCTTCTGAATCATGTAGTTCTTTCTTCAGATTTTTAATTTCATTTGCATGTATTCCTTCTCTCTTGGACAATTCTTCTTCATAAAAGATACTTTTCTTTTCCAAATCAGTCTTTAGTTTGGTTATTTCTTGCTGATGTTCTATGCTGCATACTCCTGGTGAGTAACTAATTTGTTTTTGCTATAGAAGTAATAATAAAAGATTAATCTGTAAGAATAATAAAATATCAACTAATAACTCTTTCTACAATATAAAGAACTATTCATATAACTGAATATTATTTTTGTATATTATTACATAAAAATAATACTTTCTTTATTCAGGCTATTAACCTTTTGCCTGCCATATGTTGCCAATATTTTTCTAAGTGTGTATTCCTTTATTGCTGTATTTTACAGTCTTCTTCACACCAAGATTAAATATTTATCTGTATTTTCTGCTGGTACTTATATAATTATTTGTTTTACATTTAAATATCTAATTTACATATAATATTGTTGGTGTATGGAGTGAAGGAAAAATCTAACTGCATCCTATTTCTGATGTGGAACTAATAAAAGGTTATAAATACATTTGTGTCTTTAAAAGATTAAATTGGGGGAGGAGTGGTAGAGCTAGAATGCACAAAAAGAAAAGGGAGAAAGAAGGCTTCTGCAGTGGTCCAGGGAGAAATGACAAAGGTCGAATCTAACATCTTTGTATCTATTCTAGAAAAACATGATACAGCTCTTCACATTTAGGTAGGGCTTTGAGAAGGGGAAATTTGATTGAAAGACATCTTTTTAGAAATGAGGTTGAAATATACTCTTGGTATCAGTGAGAAAGGAAAGTGTAATGTCCAAAGGTTCTTCCAGGTAGTAGCTAAGGTAAACAGAAGCATACAAAGGTTATGACTATAAGATTTCCTGAGCTTTTTCCTGAGTAACTTTTCTATAACTTTGTTACAGGCTATTTTCCCAGGTGATCCACAACAAAACTTTTAAAACCCGAAGAACCTATAAGCTTATATTTAGTGACAACAAGGAATCAAGATCTGGAGGACACTGTATCCTTTTTTGAAGTCAGTATTAAGGGCAGGAAAACTGGTAACCGTCCCTGATTTAAAGTCCAAAGAAAACTATGCTAGCTTCACATTTGAGGTCTATAATTTAAAAAAAAAAAAAAAAAAAAAGGCATCAACGTGGGCCCGAGAAATGTTTCTGGGATAGTCACTGTAATGTTAACCATTTACTCAAAACTGCTTATGAAGTGCCTACCATATGCAGGACCCAGATTTTCCAGTGGTTTCTGAGCCAGCCTGACATGGAAAGCTTGGCGGAAACTGGGAAGAGCCATGTCAAGTCATGTTCTTGCTCTCATGCAACTCCCTGAAAAGGGTGCCTAGATCAACATCGGCAGCACTAGCCACTTATCGTATTACTCTTTCATTTCTCTAATCACCTAAAGAACACTCTTAGTTTGCTGCTCACTTTAGTATAGTTTGTCTGTTGGGATAGCAGTAGATGTACTAGAAGTTTCAAGCAAAAATTACCTTGAAATCAAAACCTCACAAAGATACCACCAAAAAAAGTTATAGACTCATGTCACTAATTGATAAGAACGTAAAAAAGCCAAATAAAATGCTGAGAAACAAAATTAAGCCATAGGTAAAAAAGAACAATCTACTGCAAAACAATAAGTTTTATTACAGGTATTGAAGGTAATTTAATATTAGCAAACATTAATAACTGTGCAAAAATTAAAGTAACTCCATGTGATAATCTCTGTCAGTACCCCTGTCCAAAAGTATTGGATAAAATCTAACACCAATTCCAAAATACTACCCCAAGTCCCACAAAAAAAGAGTTCAGTAATTCTCTTAAGAAATAACCTCTTTCAAGCTATCAGACAAAATAATACTTTCTAGCGAAACACCAGATACATCCAGGAATAATAACAACAAAAAGGATGTCTTCCATTATCTCTCTTATTTAATATTAGATTTTAGATATTCTAAGTAACAGGTGAAATAGTTACAAAACATGAATAGTTGAAAATCATGATCATTTTCACGTAATATAACTGTTCGCTCAGAAAATGCAAATAAATCCACTGTAAAGTGTTGGAATTGATAAAGCTGAGTAAAACAACTGCATATTAGATAAATATAAATCACACAGTACTTCTAGACAGTAGAATAAGCAATAATAGTAAAAATTTTCATTGTTAATAATAAAAAATTTTCATTTCTTTTTAATAGATCCAACAAAAATCACCAGCAACTAGTACACACACAAGTAATAACAACAGTGAATAATTTGTTTGAATTATATGAAAAAACTACAAGTCTTTATAAAAGATTTAAAGACGACAATATAGAAAAATACCAAGTACTTGAAACGGAAGATTGAATGTATATATATTCAATGTTTCTTAAATTATCTTCCCTGTAAATTTAATTAAAAAATTTTTAATGTGGGAGGTAATACTGGGTGAGAGATGGAGACAAATGTTCTAGCACACAGGCAAAAATAAACTGGTAAAAATACCAAAGAAAATCCTGAAAAAGCACAAAGAGTAAAGAAGGAGAGAGGGTAATGTTCTTTTCAGATGTTAACATATACTATAAATTTTTTTTTAAATTTTTTGTCTGCTTTGGGTCTTTGTTGCTGCACACAGCCTTTCTCTAGTTGCAGGGAGTGGGGGCTACTCTTCATTGCGGTGCGCAGGCTTCTCATTGCAGTGGCTTCTCTTGTTGCAGAGAACAGACTTTAGGCGCGTGGGCTTCAGTAGTTGCAGTACACAGCCTCAGTAGTTGCGGCACGCGGGCCCTAGAGCACGCGGGCTTCAGTAGTTGTGGCGCGTGGGCTCAGTAGTTGTGGTGCACGGGCTCAGTAGTTGTGGCGCACGGGCTTAGTTGCTCCGTGGCATGTGGGATCTTCCCAGACCAAGGATCAAACCCGTGTCCCCTGCATTGGCAGGCAGACTGTTTTTCTTTTATAAATTTATTTATTTTTATTTATTTATTTTTGGGTGTCTTGAGTCTTCGTTGCTGCATGCAGGCTTTCTCTAGTTGCAGCGAGCAGGGGTTACTCTTCATTGTGGTGCGCGTGCTTCTCATTGCAGTGGCTTCTCTTGCTGTGGAGCACAGGCTCTAGGCACATGGGCTTCACTAGTTGTGGCACGCGGGCTTGGTAGTTATGGCTCACAAGCTCTAGAGCGCAGGCTCAGTAGTTGTGGTGCACAGGCTTAGTTGCTCCACGGCATGTGGGATCTTCCCGGACCAGGGATCAAACCCGTGTTCCCTGCGCTGGCAGGCGGATTCTTAACCATTGCGCCACCAGGGAAGTCCCTACTATAAATCTTTAATAAAGTAATCAGTGTAATAGATCTCCACCCCAAAATAATTTAATTCAATATGTGAGATACTGTCAATCACTGAGGAAAGCAGTGATTAATTAATGGAATTGAAACCACAAACTAGCAATTAAAGAAAAAAATGATTCTCACATCATACCATTTAGCAAAACAAACTCCAAACGGATTAGAACCAAATATCTTTAAACCCAATAGAAACATCCAGGAAAAAGCAGAATTACATATTTAGCAAACTCTGAAAAAAGAAGGACAAGCCAAGCTTCAATGCAATAGAAGAACTATTGAGGAAAATAAAAACAAATCATCTATAATTTGAAAAAGAAAGAAGACCAAAATTAAAGGGCAAATGATAAATTGGTAAAACAGTTGCAGAGAAGATAAACAGTACAATTTTTACTATGCAAAGAGTTTATAAGAAGTGATAAGAAAAACATTAAGACTACAAAATTAAATGTGCAAATGACTTAAAGAGATAATTCACAAAAAGAAAATATGATTAATAAAAGATCTCCTAAGAAAGCAAGAAATGCCTCTCATACTTGCAAAAATTTGTGGCATGTATCAAGTGCCTTAAAAATGATCTGACCACTTCATTTCCAGGTATCTGTTCTAAAAGAAGTGCATAAAAGGGTCCATGGCAATTATTATACTGCAAAAGTGAAAAATAAATACAGTCAGCTTGGGGGGATTGGTTCCAGGTCTGTCCACCCTCCATTACCAAAATCTACGATCGCTCAAGTCTCATATATAAAATGGAGTAGTATTCGCATATAACATACTCTCAAATTCTTTAAATTATCTACAAATGCTATGTAAAAGTTGCTAGGGCATGGCAAGTTCAAATTTTGCCTTTTGGAATTTTCTCCCCCACACCACCCCAAACAATGGGCTCTCTGTATCTGCAGACGTGGAAACTGTGGATATGAAGGGCCAAGTGTATTTAACAGTAGGAAACTGGCTAAGTGGATATTCTTCTATAATCATTAAAATTATGTTTGTGACAATCACATAATAATCAGAGAAAAAGCTTACATCACACTCTCAAGTGAAATATAAGGGTTAAGGGTTGAATTGTGTCCCTCCAAAATTCATATGTTGAAGCACTAAACACCAGTACCTCAGAATGTGACCATATTTAGAACTAGGGCTTTAAATACTGCATGATCTGACGTATGTGTGGAATCTAAAAAAGTCAAACTCTTAGAAGCAGAGAGTAGAACAGTGGTTGTGAAGGGCTGAGGGGGTAGGGGAAATGGGGAAACGTTGGTCAAAAGGCACAAGTTTCAGATATGTAGGATAAATAAATTCTAGAGATCTAATGTAAAGCAGGATAACTACAGTTAACAATACTGTACTGCATACTGGAAATATGCTAAGAGAGTGGATCTTAAATATTCTTAGCCAAAAAAAAAGGAAGGGAGGGAGGAAGGGAGGGAGGGAGGGAGGGAGGGAGGGAGAGAGGGAAGGCAGAAGGAAGGAGGTAACTGAGGTGATAGACACGTTAATTAGCTTGATTGTGGTAAACATTTCACGATGTATACATATATCTAAATATCAGGTTTTACACCTTAAACACATACAATTTTAAATTGTCATTTGTACTTCAAAAAGCCTGAAAAAAAAGAAAATGAAAATAGGGTCTTCACAGAGGTAATCAACTTAAAATGAGGTCATCAGTGTAGGCCCTAATCCAATATGACTGTATCCTTATAAATAGGAGAAATTTAGACTCAGAATCACGCACACATTGAGAACATCATATGAAGATTAAAGCAGAAATCAGGGTGATACATCTACAAACCAAGGAGCGCTAAACACTGCCA